AACACTGCTGTTATGAACATTGGTGTATAAATCTTGGTTTTACAGTCCCACTTCTCTCTTCATATCCTCTCTAACATTTATCACTTGCTGTTAAAGTTTGCCATTGTTATTGGTATGAGATATTACCTCATTGAGGTTTTTGTTTGCATCACTTTTATTACCAGTCATTTTGAACATTTCTTCATGAGTCTGTTTGGCAAGAGCTTTTTGCACCAGTCAGAACAAGACCTAGAAAGCAGCAGCCACAGAGATCTAGAGAGCAACTTGGGACAGAGATGACCTGGGACTGATTCTTCATGGAACCACAGCTTGCTGGAGGACTGACAAGGAGATTCCATAAAGGACAGGAGTAAGAAAGCTTTTAAAATTGAATGGAAACCGGGAGCAGGACAAGAGAGCACATCTGACAAGTTGTACTGACTGAACAACGATATCTTTTTCCAAGCTGTATTGTTACATGTTAATTTCCCTGTTAAACCCCATAATTATAAAAATGATCCTATAAATTCTGTGTAAGCATTAAAAGAGATTAGCAGACACAGTAGCAGAGCAGCTCGAGGCCAGGGAGGAATGTTTGGAGTTAGATTTGACTAGAGAAGGTGCAGGAATGTGGGGGCCATGTCTGACCTTAGTGTTTTGTACTGTAGATGGTGTTGAAGGGTACAGATCCGCCTAGTGGAGTTAGTGAATGTCACCCTTGGCTCTTCCCTTTCCTGGTCACACTTATTTTACAGAACTCAGCAGTGTGTTTTCCCCCCCTCTTATTTAAACTAAACTTTTCATTTTCATTTTATATTTACATGCAATGTTAATTATTACCACAGAAAGAAATCCTCAGCTTTTTACCTAGTTTCCCCAATAGTAACAGCTTGTAAAATTATACTAAAATGTAAGAATGAACATACAAGCACTGATATTAAAAAGGCACAGAATATTCCCCTCACAATGAGGATTTTGGACACTATTGTTTTAGAACCACTCTCCTTTCCCTCATCCCTTCACATCCATCCCTTCCTTAACCTGCATCACCCACTAAACTAGTCTCTTTACTATAATTTTTTTTCTTTTGTATTGGTTTGCTCACAAACTTCATATATGTTGTGTTTCACACTGTTCTTCATTCATATTGTGTTTCACACAATCACTTCCATGCATTGTTTAAAATTGTTAATATTTTTTCCATTACTATAATCTTGTTCTTTTAAGCGTGTTGTATGAATAAAATAATACATTATGTAACCCCTTGAGACTAGTTTGGCCCTCCCCCATTCAACATAATCCTATTGTAATTCTTTTTATTGATGAATGCTATTTCATGGTATGGATGTACCATAGTTTATTTACCCATCTGCCTACTGAAGAACCTCTAGGTTGCTTTTGGTTTGTAGCTACAGTTAATGAAGTTGGTATAAATGAGTACACACAGGCCTTTTTTGTGGACATGTTTTCATTTCTTTGAGATAAAGGCCTAGGCTTGCAATTATGTTGCCCTGCGATACTTGCAGCTTTAGTAGCTTAAGAAATTACCAAACTATTTTCAAGAGTTGTCATTTTCCACTTCCCCCAGCAATATGTAAGTGATCGACTTTCTCTACACTTTGTTTGAGTTTGTATTGCCACCCTTTGCTTCTTGTAATTGATTTTCATCCAATGATTCATATACATTGTACCTATGTATTAATTATAATTGAACAGTGCTTTTTATCACATCTCCGTAAATCCTCACTATACTTCTATTTTTTCACCCCACCAATCTGTCCACTGATCTCTGCTGCCCTAATATTTTCCCTTTTCTTATTACTCCTCTCATCCTCTCCTTCCCTCTTCCCTTTTGAACATGTCCTGGTCCAAGTTGTTAATTGGAATACTGATATTATACATTTGTCCTTTCTTTCCAGGTTCATCTCTCCTTTTCCTGATCTTTTACAGTGCTCATTGTCTGTATTTTCAATTTCTACTCTCCCTGTCCCTCACCCAATATCCCTCCCATTTTCATAGAAAGTGTTATTCAGTGTCTGTTCTTTTTGTGACTTTTTCACCAAGCATAATGTTCTCTAGACTCATCCATGTTACATATTAAAAGTTCTTTCCTTGTTTTTCAGTGATGCCTAGTATTCCATTGTGAATGCACCACAATTTCTCTATTCATTAATTTGTTAAAGGACATTTGGATTGTTTCCATTATTCTTGCTCTTGTGGATAATGTTGCAATAAACACAAGCCTGTATATCTTTGTTCATGGGTCAGCTCTGATTTCCTTGGGGTATAGCCCTAGTAGTAGAATAGCTGGGCTAAATTTTAATAAATAATTTAAATAATCCCCGAGCTTTATTAATGCAGCCATTCAATACCATACTGTGGTGTTTGTTTACTATGGCTGTGTAGTAGGTTTTGAAATTGGACAGTGTGATGCCTCCTATTTTGTTTTTCTTTTTCAGAAGACCTTTGTTTATTTGGGGGGGGGTCTCATTCTTTTACAAATGAAACTGGAAATTACCTTTTCTGTATCCTTGAAGAAAGACATCAGCATCTATATTAGGATTGTGTTGAATCCATAGATTGCTTTTGCTAAGATTGCCTTTTAGGTGGGGAAATGACAGCCTTTTTAACAAATGATGTTGGCAAAATTGGAAATCTATCTGCAGAAGAATTAAACAAGATCCCCACCTCACTCCATATA